TATGTTAAGCCACTATTCACCAGAACAAGGTGGTCATGGTCTGATTGAAAACCAAGTCTTATATATAAAATTAAATGATTAGAATTTATCTGAAACAACAATGGGATTAAATGGACATCATGTCAGCTATATGAAGCCACAATGAAATTTAGCTGGGAAAAAAATCTTGTTCATTGATCTTAAAGAACCCCTATTATAGTTTTTTTAAAAATTAGCTTCCATGCAGTGTAACACAGCACTAGGTGAATGAAAACACCCAGCTGAGGTTTAAATCTGAATTGCATTGTGTTTAAAACTATTGATTCTTTAACAAAATAGTTGTCAGAGTCAAATAAATTATTCATTGTGTGTTTGGATCTTCTATGACAAAATATGAAGAACCTTGAATGTTCCGGTAAAACGTGAACGCTCCTTTCCTTTCAGAAACTAGCAGAGTGCAGGTGATCGCCAGGGCTGATCATGACACGAAGATGGCGATCAGTGAAAGATTCGGATGTGCATGGGGAATAACGGGTTAAAGTTTATTTTCACAACAATACCACAGTATAGCCAACCTAGTGCTGTGTTTATTCCTGTCATTTTTTCAGATTTTTGAAACATAAAACTGTGCTGCAATGCAGGACTCGTCGGCCATTTGCTATTAAAAGGAAGGATCAGCAGAGATTATTATGTATGGGACTTTGTCAGTAACTGTTACAGTTCATATGGACCAGAATCTTCTTCCTCCAGATGTAAGGGTGCTTTCACATCTATAGTTCGCCTCATTTGGTCCGGACCAAGCGTAATAAATGATACATTTATTTTATGCCGTCTTTGGGTCGTTTTCACACCACACTGCTGGCTTTGGTCCAAACCAGATGAAACAAACCAAAATGCAGTCATCTGACAAAATCAAAAACTCTCATTGGCCAGATGTTGTTAAACATATTTCCTAAACTGCTTATTGTTTGGTTAGAATTTATGTGCGGGAAAACGCCAACGAACTCCGCACGTAAACAAAACTGGCAGACACAAAATGTCGTTTTTACTCTTGAGGGACGACTGCGCTGGCTGATTGTATGCCAGCTTTAGACAAACTATACATTTCGAGAATGAAGCGCGGCTGCGGCTGGAAAACAATGTTTTAATGCATCGCACGTCACTTCAGGAGGAGGTGTGAATTAATTTAGCTAAACTGCGACATGGTCATCTTGCGGAAATATTACCAATGATCCATCAGGTAATGCCCCACCCCCCCTTCTCCCTCTCTCTCTTTCTCACCGTTGGTAAAGCGCTGTCAACAAATCTTTTTCCTCCATATCCCATAATGCACAACGCATCGGCCTATGGCAGCTGGATTAGTTCAAAAGGCACAGTGCTTTTTGCGGTTGGACCTGTTTTAGTACAAATCATATTCTCACCACAAATGAACCGCTCCAGGGTTCGTTTGAAAGCGTACCGAGACCAGCTCTTCAAGCTGGTCTCGGTACGCTTATTTGGTCCGCTTTTGGTGAGCACTCGAGTATGATTGCTGCATTCTTACCTGCCCAAACGAACTGCACCAAAAGGGAAAACGAACTCTAGTGCGATTTAATCGAACTAAATAAGGCAGGTGTGAAAGCACCCTAAGTGTGATTAAAATAGTGGCCTCACTTTCTGTAGTTTGCAAAATGTGTAATTAATTGTGTGTTGTAACTTGTAATTGCTCCGCACATATCTATTATAGATCAGTGCTTGTAATGCATCTCTCAGGTTAAATCTTGATGGGGCTATTCACGTATCGCGTCTAAACCCATATTGAAAACATGACGCGTGCTTCTTCCTTAGTTTAAATGCATTTTGTGCTTGCATCTGCCTTAAGCCTTATTTTGTGCTTGCATCTGCCTTATTATGGCCACTATCAGCTGTCCATACACACGTCTGGCGCGGTCAATTTTTAAAATAGTTCAACTGTCACTGTGTGGATTAATACTGAATGTGTGTCATTATTACTTGGCGTTAGGTTTAAGAGTAGAGTAATATACTGGTGCTTAACTGCATTGCTTAATTGCATTCCTGCATTGGGCTCTCACATACTCTGCTACTTCATAACCATGGTGGGCATTTCTTTTTTGTCTTGCTCTGAACCCAGTCGACCAATCACAACAGACTGGGTCATCAGACCAATCACCGCAGATTAGCATTGCGCTAAGGAGAGGTTTGAGAACAAGAGAATTGCTGAACATATCATATGGGATTCGTTGGGATAATAAGGTACAAATGAATGCATATTATAAGACAATCAACATGTTTTTTGACCTTGCATGCATATCAGACTGATGTTGGAGATCCCAAAACCAAAATATTACATTTTATAATGCAAAATAGGGGCTCTTTAAAATAACACAGGAACTGACTGCACAGCTTTCTAACATCTGACTTGCATACAAAATCAAAAAATAAATAAATAAAAATGAAGTACTTTGAAATGTTGCTTTATGAAAGTAGACCAATGCAGCATCGTAAAAATGCACCCATAAACTTACATACCCATACACACACTACGGCCAATTTACCTTACCCAATTCACCTACAGCGCATGTCTTTGGACTTGTGGGGGAAACCCGAGCACCCGGAGGAAACATGGAGAACATACAAACTCCACGCAGAATTGCTAACTGACCCAGCCGGGACTCAAACCAGAGACCTTCTTGCTGCTAGGCAACAGCGCTACCCACTGCAGCACCGTGTCACTCAAGGGCTTTTCAATTTATGAATGAAATTGCTTTTTTTTATTCTACAACGTAAATCAGGCACATCCATACTAAAAGCACACATTTTGAAGCTGCTATAAGCATTTTATAAAAATAATGTTTCAAAGCAAAAACAGTAGGAATGTTTGTGCAGTGAGTCTCTGTAAGTTATGTTAGAAACAAAAGGTTCTGGCAAGTTATTACTATCACAGATCTTATTTCACTCATTAACTGAAACTCCTCAAATAAAACCCAGTAGGGGAGTCTTGAGGGAACACATTGAGTTTTGAAATTATCTCTGAAATAAATCTACATAGGCCTATATGAAAACATCATACATTTTATTCATTTATTTATTTTCTTTTTAAACTAGTCCTTTATTTATCAGGGATTGCCACCACAGAATGAACTGCCAGCTATTCCGGCATATGTTTTACGCAGCGAAACACCAATACACTCTCACATACACACTCTACAGCCAGTTTAGCTTATTCAATTCACCTATAGAGCATGTCTTAGGACTGTGGGGGAAACCGGAGCATCCAGAGGAAACCCATGCGAACACAGGGAGAACATGCAAACTCCACACAGAAATGCCAACTGATCCAGTTGGGGCTCCAACCAGCGACCTTTTTGCTGTGAGGCGACAGTGCATAGTATACCACTGAACTACTGTGCCTCCTATCCTAAATTTTATTTTGTATTATATGATTAGAATTGTTTTGTATAATACTGCATTATAAGAATGTCACCTGCAACTTATACGTTTTCCATCTTTTTTACTTTTCAATATATTTCCAATATTTCGTCCTTGTCTCGTTACATTAGCAGCTAAAATGTTGACATTGAATTTGTGTTGAAGAGTGTTTTCATTTCTTTTAAGTGAACTGAGGACAGTACAATAACCTTAAAAAGCACTTTCTGGACCATGAAATTACCAAACACCCTCAAGTCTGCCTGACACTACGATCATCTTCTTAAGTGCAATGGATGAAACCTCACCCAACTTTCACCTCAGTTATATGCAGCTCATTGGACAATGCTGAGCATCAAAAGTAACCGGGTCTTGTTTTTTTTGCTTGTTTGTTTTTTTTCCTTGACTCCAGACAAAAGAAACCCCTGTGAAAAAGGCTCTCAAGCTTATTGCTTTCAGTACGATCAGTCTTCTGTGCTGTCTTTTATGTTATCTTGGTTCATGCTTCAAAAATGCATGAGAGTAGGTGGATTTGACAAATGTCCTTATACAGGGTTTAAAAATTAAGGAGCATAAAGTTTTAAGAGCTAAAAAAATTGTGCATTCAAGCAAGCGAAGACCCTGGATGACACGGTTCCACGATTCCAGCTATTGCGCCAGGGGTCCTACTGCAATTTTGTTTAAGTCCATGAGGCTTATTTACACTGGCATTCAAAGTCCACAACACCCTTGAGTTTGTAGGCTTTGTTTGGGCATGCTTAACAATTAGCTTTTCTAAATGAATATGTAAATCCTCCTTAATGGGATATGAAGAAAATTTACATGCTCTGCTATTACACAGTGATAACACTGACACCAGAGCTCTGAAGAGCATGTGAAAATATACAGACTTTTAAAGTAGCCTGCCTTAAACATAATCAGAAGAGGGTATAATTCACATGTTCATATAGGCCTACTTATAATAATAATAATAATAATAATAATAATAATAATAATAATAATAATAATAATAATAATCCAGAAACGCATTTTGATCCTCATTTGTTAAAAATAAACACTTAAGATCAAGTCCCTCGCCTATAAAATAATACACTAGCTTAGTAGTATACCCCATTAGAGTAGTACCCAGCAGATTTGCTATAAATACTCAATGCAAACAAATTCCTTTTGTATAATTAGTCTCTAAGGAGCTGCTATTTAAACACTGTATCACGTTATTAAAATATCGCTCTCTTGTTTGTAACCACTAGATGCCGCCAGATCACATAGCTCGCATCGCAAATCAAACACCTTTAAAGATAGGAATAAAAAAGGCGGTAGGCACGGACGAAGCTGTTTGCATCAGTCTAATTAAAAACCGCATATTACATCAAATTTAATTGCACGTATGCAAAACCGCACGTATATACATTAGAGCGCTTTCTTACCTTTTACATCACGTTGCATCATCTTTCCGCGCCACAAGTGACATGCTCTGCTTGATGATTGGTTTATACTCACGTCAATCAATGCGAGGCACCAATCACGGACAACACCCAAATTGCATCATATCGTTGCATCAGGCTTCCCCTTAGCATCCGGTAAACGTGTGTGCCATTGAATAAGGACTGTACTAAACTGTAAGTTATTGGATCGTGTTGCTCGTTCGTGTTTGTGATTTTTCGTGTAGTTATGGCGGATGAGAGTGTGACTGATCAATTGAAAGAACTGAAAATGGAAGAAAAGAAGGTAACTAATCAGTGCACATGCAGTTAGCAGACTGGCTAATGTTAGTCTCATATCTGACATAAAGCATGTTGCTGTCAAAACATAACAGTTAGTGCATTTTTATAATTTCGCTGTCTAATAAGTGTCATTCAATGTTATCTATTTAAATTATGTACAATTTAGTTGATTTATTCTGCTCTTGCTATTTATAGCTCTGCAGTTAGGCTTAGTTTCTGTGTCATATTAGGTGGAGTGACACGTTTGAGCTTTTTTTCTTTGTTGACATGAACAACTGAGTGACAGGTAACAGTAACAGCCAACGTCACACCCTTTCTTTCAGAATACTAAAGATGGAGGAAAGAAGAAAAACAAGAATGCTGCTGGAGATGCAGGTGGAAAGACTGAGGTCTGTTAAAATTATTTATTTTCACACACACACTGAACAATGGAAACACACATTACAATGTTATTGTAGGGTATCACACTGTATTGCATATTTTAATAAACTTGAAAGATAAATAAATATACTTGTGACTAGTATTCCACACATAAGTACAAAAAGGATGGGCTCATAATTTTAAAAACATTAAACATTAAAATCCCCAATAAATCAAAACTAACCATATTATTTTGTTAGCTTACGTGGCTAATTCGTGTTGAATAATTTATTTGTGTGTGTCATTTAGAAAAAAGACTTTGCCCTTTTAATTTTTAATTGAAATCTGAAAAAAAAACTGTTTGTTTTCAGATTTATTCTCAGATTACGTGATTTTGAGGTAATGGGCCTGGCTAACATACTCAGTGGTGGGAAAAGAACTGAAAAATCATACTCAAGTAAAAGTACCATTACTTGCCCAAAAAATGTTGTGTGAATACCTTTCAAAAGTACTCAAGAATAGTGAGTTATGCTGCGAAAGGTTAATGCGTTTACATGTAATTTGCACGAGTGTCGGAGTGTGTGTAAACACAACATTGTGTAGTGCATTTAATTTTTGTTTAAGGCCATACAGTAAACATCCATCATCTAGTCATCACTGAGATTCAGTCTCTGCCTCATTGCATGTAAAGTATCTTCTTGGACACTTATAATGCTTCCAAACAGTTGGCTGCATGTCTTAAGGTTGTTTAGAATGATGCGATTTTAATTTCTATGTGCAATTTGATTGGAAAGCAATCACAGGATGGATTTTTCTAATCCCCAGACAAGAAAAAAATAAAGTAATGACTGTAGGTTTAAGGAAAGTAGTGGAGTAAAAGTACAGATACTTCACTAAAATTTACTCAAGTAAAAGTACACATTTTTAAAACTACTTAGTAAATAACAATTTCTGAGAAAACAACTCATTACAATAATTTGAGTATTTGTAATTAGTTTTTTTACACCACAGAACATACTTAACCACGCTGTTTTAACTATCAGTTTAAACAACAAACAGATAAAGTGAGTCTGTTAGGTTGTAATGACTCTTCTGAAACTCCTTTCCTGATCATTCTGAATGAAATGCCTACTTTACTACATCCAATCAGCTCCCAGTAGAAAAAACAAGCCCCACCCACTGTTTGCTTAGTTAAAATTCAGTTTCTCTAGGAACTGCATCACAATACGAAAAGAATAACAATCGCAGCTTCTGGTTCATGGGGACTTTAATTGCTGAAGTGCTTTATTTTATATGAAACATACTCTTTAAAAAATGGACAGAGTTTGCATAACAAGGCAATCATTTTTGTAACTTTCTTCACTACAGCTGAGTCCTCCACCACAGTACATTGATGAGCGCCTGTCCATTTATAACAAACTGAAGGAAGAGCATGATGCCCTTCTGGCTGAGAAAGCAGCAAAAGAAAGCAAGCCCATCAAGATCACACTGCCTGATGGAAAAGTTGTAGATGGAGAGTCCTGGAAGACCACACCTTACCAGGTTGCCTGTGGGATCAGGTTAGTGGCTAAATTAAACTGCATGAGATATCCCATTTTGTGTGAAATCTTTTTTATTTATTTATTTATTTATTTATTTATTTATTTATTTATTTATTTATTTATTTTTACACAATAAATAATGGCTTAAAAACAGGCTTGCCTTGTCAAAGTGTGTTGGCTATGCAAATACACACTGCAAAATCTTAGTATTTTTCACTGTAAAAAAATCTTCAGTCAGTGTGTTCGGTCATTCAGTGTGTGTGTGTGTATAAATGTCTAGTGCTCAGGATAATGGACACTTTTTACATTTCCAGGTTTCTCAGAAGAGAAAGTCCTCCTAGTTGGGTAAACTTAGAGTCCAGGGAATGGGAATAGGTGCAGTGAATTTTTACAATCCTATTTACTGAAATAATAAAAGAAAAGCTCCACTATGGTGTTATCAAGATTTTCAGAAAAAGCAAACAAATAGTTTGAGACTGATAACAGCAGCCAAAAGAGAGAATAACTTCAAATTTACTGTCCTGCCCCATATACACTCCATTTCAAAGGGCTTGCACAAGCCGTTTTTTACATTTATTTTTGTAATTTGATACAAATATCATATAATACATATAAATGTACATAATATATATTTTTAATTAAAATATGAATAACTTTTATGGATTTTAGATGCTAATGACCATTAAATTCGTTATACCAGTATTGTGAAAAGGATCCAATGAGTACAACCCCTTTTGAAAATGAATATGTTATCAATTTCTCTCTGAATATAGCTAATGATGTTTAGTGCATTTAAACAAAACCAGGTTGCCTAACATCTTTAAGAGTAGAAAGATGATTCATTAAAATTGATACTAGTAATTGTAAAAAATTACGAATGACAAAATGTAGTTACTGACATTTACTAATAATGAACAATACTTGTGCAGCATTTATTAATTATACTTCAGCATTTATCATTTTTTTATTTCATTATTATTTTTGCATTATCAAAAGAAAAAAAAAAGCTTTTTACATTAGTTTATGCACTGTGAGTTAACAAGAACTAACCATGAACAACTTTATTTTCATTATCTGTGGTCAACAAAGATGAGCATACTTTAATAAATTTATTGTTATAAAATGCATTAACTAGCGTTACGTAAAAGAACCATATTGTGAAGTGTTACCAACATAGATTAAAACTGTACTTTTTGTAATTGACAAAGCCTCTTAGTACAAAGAAAATATTGCTCTGTCTGTTTGAATGTATTGGCGTAGCATTATTGACTCAGTGGCCTGAATTTGTATTGGGATTGCCTGTTTGGCTCTGTGACAGATCACACTCTTCATAATGTGCAGTGGTATATTAGAAACCTAGACTAGTAAGCAAGGAAAAGTTTATTTTATATATTAGTGTGATACAGGTGAGTGGGCTTTATAAGCAACCTGCAGTAACACTCTGCTGCTAATTCACTAGACAATTTTTCTTTTAATCACTCATTGCTACAAATACTAAACATAATGCTTCGCTTATTTGGCAATGCACTGCACATTACGTTGAACTAAATCGCTGGCACGAATCTCATGTACAGTTGAAGTCAGAATTATTATTCCCCCTGTTCATTTTTTCCCACAACTTCTTTTTTAACAGAGAGAATATTTTTTTAACACATTTATAAACATAATAGTTTTAATAATTAATTTCTAATAACTGATTTATTTTTTTTTTGCCATGATGACAGTAAATAATATTTTACTAGATATTTTTCAAGACACTTCTATACAGCTTACAGTGACATTTAAAGGCTTAACTAGGTTAATTAGGTTAACTAGGCTGGTTAGGGTAATTAGGCAAGATATTGTAAAATGATGGTTTGTTCTGTAGACTATTGAAAATATATATCTTTAAGGGACTAATAATTTTGGCCCTAAAATGGCTTTTAAAAAAATAAAAACGGTTTTTATTCTAGCCAAAATAAAACAAATAAGACTTTCTCCAGAAGGAAAAATATGATCAGACATACTGTGAAAGTTTCTTCCTCTGTTAAACATAATTTGGGAAATATTTAAAAAAGTAAAAAAAAATCAAAGGTGGGCTAATAATTCTGAATACAACTGTATATTATGTATGTAAATCTCATGTTTAGCTATTTACTCAGTATATTTACAGTTACATATTTTTTCACATGTGTATGTTTATAATTATTATTATTATTATTTTTTTAAGTTTTAGGCTTGTTCTGTCATTGTCTGTTTATATCTACTGTATGTTTAGATTAGTATGTTTCTTTGAGACTCTCAATTCCTCTAAAAATCTAAAAGGAATGACAGTAAAAGTGTATTTGACTCGACTTACTTGCTTTTATTGAACAGTCAAGGCCTTGCTGATAATACTGTGATCTCCAAAGTGAACAACGGGGTATGGGATCTGGACAGGCCCCTAGAGGAAGACTGCAGTCTAGTGTTTCTCAAATTTGACGATGAAGAGGCACAAGCGGTACGTTTATTCATTTACAAACAAATAAGTAGCACTTATGTTGGCATATACAGTAGGGGACATCCTACCAGGAATGTACTTTATCCACCCTTGAAATAAGAACCCAAATACAATGAATTAAAGTATTTCATTCCAGAAATTTCTGAAATTGACTAATGGTTGACTTCTGTGAGTTGTTCTGTAAAGGAATATGTTGTTCATTTGGTTCTCAGATTTTAGTTTTTTTATTAAAAACAATTTACAAATGTACAAACCCTGCCATTGTCCTCAGCCAACAACCTACAGCTTTTATAGTTTTGTTATGCTAAAAACTGTTATTAAGAGAAAAAAAAAACCATCAGAAATAGCAACGTTTAAGTTGTTTTCATTCACTTCAATTTATTAAAAACATGAATTGATAAATAAATTCTACAAATAAATAATACAAATAAATTTACAATTGAAGAGTTCAGATGCAAAAACCTTTAGGTGCCATCTGGAATCTTCTTCTACAATGAGCATTTTTCTCAGCCTCTTATGTTTCTTATTGGTTATTTCTTATTAAAAGTGATGAGAATAACCTATTTTTTGCCATAAATGTGGAATTACTGAATCAAAACATAGGAGCCTAATAAAAATGCTAATATTAAAAGAAAATTTCTGATGGCACTTAAAGGTTTTTGCATCTGAACTCTTTAATTGTCCCATTGTTTCAGTCAGTCCTGTCATATTTGCATTAAATTTAACATAAAATAAATGCAATACACCTTTAAGGCTATGACTCAAAGGACTTGACATTAATTTGAAGCTGACAGGGATCAAGGTTGCGCTCTTTCATTCAATTATATGATTTTGTGCTTGTTTTTGTATGATTTTTGAAAAAGACAAGATTAAAGGTCAGAGCCTGTTACATAATTTATAAGTAAAAATATAAATTTCTGGTAGAATGTCCCATAGATACAGATAATACTTGCATTCTATTTATGTAAATATTGTTTTCTTTTTAGGTTTACTGGCACTCAAGTGCTCACATAATGGGAGAGGCCATGGAGAGAGTTTATGGTGGCTGCCTATGTTACGGACCACCCATCGAAAATGGCTTTTACTATGATATGTATCTTGATAATGAGTAAGTCAAACACATTTTCAGTTCATTTTTTAATGTTTATTTATTTTTTGAGAATGATTTAGATTGGAAGTTAGTTGAAGCGTAGTATTAAGCAGTAGATTACAGGTGTCGAATTATAATATCCTTCTCATTACTTCGGTTATCAATGCTAATGCAGGTCACTGCTGTTTCCATTTACCAATCGCTGATTAGAAATGTCAGTCTGAGCTTGAAAGTCATATTAATTAATCTGCAGCCTAGTAGGTCTTCAAGAAATAAATCATTTTGTTATTTTTGTTAATGTATTTTTCATTCCTTTCAACAATTACTTGACCTTTAATCTGACCGGCATCAGCGCAAAGGCTTTAAATAAACACGAAGGAAACTAATAAATGCAGTAATTTACTTGTTGAAAGGCAATTTATGCAAATGTTATTCATTTTGGTGATTTCACTGCTTGTTTGGTAGTGCGGCTCTGTCAGGTCCACAACAGGTAGCTTTCTGAACATATTTTGCATTTCTCATAAAATATGACTGCGGCTTGAAAAAGTTTCTTTAGTTGGTGACATCTGTGAGGTGTTTGGTGTTCTTTTGCACTTTTTTTTACTTAAGAAGAGCTTATGTTTTTTTTTAATGAAACCTTTGCACTTTACTTTCTTTATCCGCTCCCTTCCTCACCTGCTGGTTTGCAGAGGTGTATCGAGTAATGATTTCCCCTGTTTGGAGAACCTGTGTAAGAAGATCATCAAAGAGAAGCAGCCCTTTGAGAGGCTAGAGGTAAAGAAGGAGACTCTGCTGGAGATGTTCAAGGTAGGTGCTTCTCTTCTCTGAGAAAGGAATATAAGCTCATGCTATGAATAAACCCTTAACACCCGAGTGCCTTGAAATTCAGACCAGTGAAATCTGCGTCTCTCTTTCCTCTAGTACAACAAGTTCAAGTGCAGGATCCTGAATGAAAAGGTTACCACCCCAACCACTACAGTGTACAGGTATGATTTTTAATCGCTTAAAAGTATGCCTTTTGTTATGTGTATGTTTTTTTTTTTATTGTTATTTAGTTTTACTGTTTTTACGTTTCTGTTCTGAAGATCTAAATGTCAGGTTTTTTTAAGACTTACATTGTCAAGGGAAAAATAGTCTTGTAGTTTTTACATGCTTAATAAGTAAAGCTTCTTGACCAGCATGTTAACATATTTCTGATGGATATGCTGAGCACTTAAGACTGACATAAATAATGCTTAAAATTCAATAATTCATTTTCTTACTTTAAATATCACAAGAATAAATTACATTTCAAAATACAATGTAAATATACACTCACTGGTCACTGTATTAGGTACACCTTACTAGTACTAGTTTTAACCCCCTTTTGCTTTCAGTACTGCCTTAAATCTTCATGGCAACAAGGTACTGGAAATATTTCTGAGATTTTGGTTCAAACTGACATGATAGCTTCACGCTGTTGCTGCATATTTCAGAATCCAGTTTGCGTTTTAAGACAAGCAACTTTTTTCCAATCTTCTATTGTCCAATTTTGGTAAGCCTGTGCGAATTGAAGCCTCTGTAGATCCACAGTTTCTAAAAAAAAAAAATAAAATAAATATATATATATATATATATATATATATATATATATATATATAGAGAGAGAGAGAGAGAGAGAGAGAGAGAGAGAGAGAGAGAGAGAGAGAGAGAGAGAGAGAGAAAGAGAGAGAGAGAGAGAGAGAGAGAGAGAGAGAGAGAGAGAGAGAGAGAGAGTGAACATTTTAAATAATAATGAAACTTGTAATATGACTGAATTTTATTTATTAAATGCATTGTTAAAATATATTCTGCTGTAGGTGTGGACCCTTGATTGATCTGTGCAGAGGGCCTCATGTAAGACATACTGGAAAAATCAAGGCCATGAAGATCCACAAGGTATGCAATTGCATTTTTATTGATTTTTCTCTATCCATGCAACATTTAGCAACACTTTACAATAGGGTTATATTAGAAGAATGTTAGTTAATGTATTTACCAACATAATGAAATGTGTACATGATGAATTGTGAATTAATTATTGTTTTTCGTTAAATTATTATTCATTCATTTTAGTATTTATTCATTTTTGCTCATGTTAACCAATGGAAATAAGTTATTTATTGTTAGTTGACATCAACTTACAGTTCATCACCTAATATCATCAAGCATTTTAAGTATTCGTTAGTAAATGGTAAACTTTGAAGAATAAATGCCCCCCCCCCCCCCCACATGTACATCAGACATGTGATGCTTACAGCATAACGTATAATCCCAAGTGATGTATATGATGTTCATCCTAGAATTCCTCTACATACTGGGAGGGCAAAGCTGACATGGAGAGCCTTCAGAGGATCTATGGCATCTCTTTCCCTGATCCCAAGATGCTGAAGGAATGGGAGAAGTTCCAGGAAGAAGCCAAGAACAGGGATCATCGCAAACTAGGACGGGTAAATAGTAAATATAGAAATGAGAAAATTGACATGCTTACTTCTGTACATAATCAGTATTCCGTTTATCTGAAATATGTCAATGAGATTTGTTTCATAAATTGACGTAGGTGCATGTAGAAGCACATGACTAAAATATAAGAAAAATATATTCACGCATTGGCCCCCCAAAATATGCAGAATGCTTTGTAAGCTATAATCCTCTCCTATAGATTATGTAAATGTTTCTTTATCTAAATACTTGGGTGACAGGAATTAAATATACTAATGGAACACACTACTGACTCATACATACTTAAAAAAAACAAAAAAAAAAAACTCATTCAAACGTGTGGTGTTGGAAGAGTTTTTAAATAATGTGAAACTATTAATGTGGAAGATATTTTTATATAATTTAAAAAAGTTTAAATGTTAATATTCATTGGGAATTTTGAAAAATTATACAGTGCTCTGCATATATAAGTACACCCCTCACAATTTTATCTTTAAATTAATACAAACTCGGTTCTGGAGGGCCAGTGTCCTGCAGACTTTAGCTAAACTGTGCAGGACACTGGCCCTCCAGGACCGAGTTTGCCCACCCCTGGACTAGTCAGTACTGAAGCCAAATCTGGAACTTATCTAACAAAATAACTTACAAAAACGGTCCAAAAACTAGTACAGCTAATTTCATATGTTATTAAATATAAATACAAATTTAAAAAAAGAGGAAAAATCAAGAGAAGCAAATATAGGAAAAATTTAGTTGAAATTTTGCATGTTGTAATTTTTATTTTTTTTAATTTTTTGCTAAATTAAGCCTGAATTTAGTTGTATTATCTTTCAATTTCTAAATATGTTTGGTGAATTAATTATTATTTTAATAATGTTAATTCTGTTTTGTTTAAATGCACCAAAATACATTGCCTATATTCACTGAGAAATGGATAAAAATATTCATTTTCTAAATGGGGTGTACCCAATTATGCTGAGCACTGTATACATCAGCGATTCGTTTCTTTAATATCAGGATTTATAAATTGTTAGAAAGTTCAATACAGGGTTTGTGAGGTGCTGGAAATCCTTGAAAATGAATGAATTTTAGTCTAGTGTTTTAAAAGTGCTTATATTTTATTCAAAGTGCTTAAAACTGTTTAAATATAATTGTTTTGCTTTTATAATAATTTATCTTACTAATAGATAATAATATAAATAAAGATACATTTTGTATGTAATTAATTTTTTTTTGCATGAAATTAAAACTCAAATCAGCACATGTGCCTGTAGGGTGATCTGTTCTATGTTTAGTTAATTTTTTTCTGCACATTTTTGATTAAGCAGTGGGAGAAAACGAAATGGATGGTCTTTACAACTTAATGTGTGAACCATGCATGGAAATAAAAGTTAATATAGGATGAAAGATGACACATTTAAGATGCAAATAAACAACACTAAATGCGAGTCAATTATAGTTGATTTTAGAATAATTAGTCCCCCATTGAATTTTTGTTTCTTTTTTAAATATTTCCCAAATGATGTTTAACAGAGCAAGGATATTGTCACGGTATACCTGATAATGTTTTTTTCTTCTGGAGAAAGTCTTATTTGTTTTATTTCGACTAGAGTAAAAGCAGTTTTTAATTTTTTTAAAACTACTATACGGTTGAAATTATTAGCCCTTTTAAGTTATATTTTTCTAATAGTCTACAGAACAAACCATCGTTGTACAAAAACTTGCCTAATCAACCTATACAGTCTAGTTAACCTAATTAACCTAGTTAAGCTTTTAAATGTCACTTTAAGCTGTATAGAAGTGTGTTAAAATATCTAGTAAAATATTATTTACTGTCATCATGGCAAAGATAAAGTAAATCAGTTATTAGAAATGATTAATGAAAACTATTATGTTGAAAAAATCTGCTCTGTTAAACAGAAATTGGGAAAAAAAAAACGGGGCTAATAATTCAGGGGGGATAATTCTGATTGCAACTGTACATTTTATTTAAAGGGCCTTTAAAGAAACCTAAGGTCACTGTATAACCTGTATAAATACACAATTCAATAATTAAAAATCGTACAACATATACACAATTCAGTAATTCAAAAATAAACTGACAGCATAAAAATATAAAAAGATGATAAAATCCAAGGACATAATACAGAATGTAGAATGCAGTTATAAAGAGTAAGTTATTTTGAACCCATGAGTTTAAGGTCTGGATTTAAACAGAAGGAGAGAGTCAATGTTGCACATGTCAGGGAGGAAGACGATTCCAGAGTTTGGGAGCAGAGCGACTGAAAGCTCTTCTCCCCATATACTATACAGTACTATAAAAATATTTTAACAAAAAACATCTGATATAAATGTGATTAATTATATATATATATATATATATATATATATATATATATATATATATATATATATATATATATATATATATATATATAGTTTGCCACACCTGTAAAGTGCTGGAATTTTTTTTTGAAAATGCACCTAGAAAGTGCTTAAAAGATGTTTTTTTCTCTCTCGAAAGATGTGGAAAAAATATTTAAAAGCCTTTATTCACATGGCTAATCTTAAAAAAATGAATAAATTAAACTACACGCTTCGGCAGAGAGCTGCCTTCATCATACAATTCTGTATATCATTAGTAATTTTGCTTCATCTTTTGATTATTTGAATGTCCACTTTCTTAATAAAAGTAATGACTTTTTGAAACAATAATATAATATAATATAATATAATATAATATAACCTAATATAATTTAGAGATTTTAAAACACTCAGACTGTAAAATACTAAATTGATGCTATGATCACCTTTACTGTATGCAAATAATTGTAATTAGAATTCAGCTGTGGACAAATGAATACAAAAATGCTTTTTCCACCGAACATTTGGGGGACAAAACTGCTCACAATGGTGGACATGTGGACGCCTCAGTGTGCTAATGACTCGGGCTCATTTGATGCTCCTTGTGGGGAGTCTCGGTACGGTGACTGAAGACAGGTCTGATAGGTGGGCTGAGGGGGAGAGAACGGGGACTGAGCCCATAAAAAGGCAGATGTCTGTCTCCTTAATGTGCCATCTGTTCATGGGCCCACTGATGGCTGCACAGGGAACACTTTGTCACAACAAAAGCAAGAGCGTAATCAGCCATTTGTCCTGTTGTTGTTGTTTTGTTTTTTTTCCTCTTGCTCATTTGAACTTTTTTTTTCTTCCCCTTTGTATCTATCTGTATTCTCAGATACATTTCAGATCTGCATAATTCTTTCTCTAACCTTTTAATGTCTACCCTTGCTCTCTTTCTTTCCTTTTGTCTTTCCAGGAGCAAGATTTGTTTTTCTTCCACGACCTGAGCCCGGGTAGCTGTTTCTTTCTCCCTAAAGGAGCATACATCTATAATACGCTGATCGAGTTTATTAGGGTGAGTTTCCCTCTACATTTTAAATTCATAGATCATTCTGTTACTACTACTATGCCAAAATCATCCATTAAAAAAATTTACAATAGCAAGACAACAAGAGTGCGAAGTGGAGCCGGGTTTTGCGAAGGTCTATTAGGATATGCTAAATTGCATTTTATGGAAGTCATGGTTCAGTAGACCATGTAATGGATAGGTTGGTCCACTTCAAGGACCCCATTAATTATCGTGGGCTAACCGCTTGAATATTTATGCATTTTCACTGACTGTTTTCTTGTTCTTTGGTACTTTTTTGTCATGTAGAGTGAATACAGGAAAAGAGGATTCCAGGAAGTGGTCACACCAAACATCTACAACAGTAAACTGTGGCAAACCTCAGGACACTGGCAGCACTACAGCGAAAACATGTTCTCCTTTGAGGTGGAGAAGGAGATCTTTGCCCTCAAGCCTATGAACTGCCCTGGACATTGGTATGTAATCTTTCTAATTGTTCGTTTGTGACATATGGCGTTTAAATAAATAATATTAGTATTTTCAGATCCAAGCCTGACTTGAGAAACTAAGGCTGCGTTCAAAAGCTTAGGGTGCTGACTTGTTGACCAATCAGACAATGGGCTCTATTTTGACGGTCCATGTGCAAAACGAAAAGCGCAGGGCGCAAACGCATTCAGAGCGTGTCATAATTCATATTTTCTAATTTAAGGACGGGAAAATCTGCTTTGCGCCGTGGCGCATGGTCTAAAAGGGTTGAGTTTATTTTCTTAATGAGTTATAGGTGTGTTTTGAGAATAAACCAATCAGAGTCTCATCTCCCATTACCTTTAAGAGCCAGCTGCGTCGCGCCATAAGCGCATTTGATATTTACATGACGTAAAGTAAGTTCACTTTCGCTTTTGCTCTCGTGGATAGGGAAACCTTAACGCACGATATCAGTTAGCCTATAAATAATTAATTTAGTTTAAGCGCAAATATTTTTTTCAATACTATTTCTAAATTTCATTTATTTCCAGCAAACGAATAAATGAACAATAATAACGAAGTGTGGTCAAAATACTGAGTTATTTCTAAATACACCTGCTCTACCACATATTGTCTAAAACCTGACAGGTGGGCAAATCTAAGCTTGTTTTTAATAAAACAAATATAAATATGGATATAATAAATAATAAATAATACTGCTAATAATAATAACATTATACAAAAGCAAATTGAATTAATGAAAAAGCCTCCCGAGATGAAGAAAGTAAAGGCAGTGGTTTTTAAATTAATATGAGAGATTAATATGTTTTGTAATATTTTAATAATTTATATTTATATCCTATATATATCCTTATTATTTATATCCTTAATATATTATATCTTTTTCATATGTAAAGATATTTGCGTATTGCTCTACATTTTGTGTGTAGTGTGTAAGCCAGGCGCACTTTGCGCCAGACAATAGACCAACTTTGTTATAGTCTAAAGAACAGACTATTTACAGTTTCTCAAAATAGCAACACGCCAAAACACGCCTGCTTTTTTAGACCAGAATGCCTATGGGTGCACATATGAGCGCAAATGCATTTGCTATTTAAACAGTGTGGCGCAATGCCGAGCTGAAAGTAGCAAATAACAATTGCGTTGCGCGTTGCGCTTGCGCCATATCGCGCCGGTTGTATGGTAGGGCCCAATGACTCTTAAGGCAGCGTATTAACACAAAGGCACCTTTTTACACCTTTTTACACAAAGGTACCTGATTTCAAACAGACTTTTGAGACAGCGTAATGATTTAATCACATACAACTAACATGAGAAAGCTTTGGTTATAAGCAGTCCCACACTGAATCTACGCGTGTGGAAATCTGCAGATTTTTAATTCATCATTTAGTCTATACATTTACTTTTGTAAATGTGTGTTAAATTATATTTATTAGTTTTTAAATTAATTTCAGTAATATTATTGGCTAATATGAAAATTTTCATATGATTTATTTACAATATAGTTTTAGTAATATTTTCTGTGTTTTTAAATCTATTATTAGCCTTTGTGAGACTTGCTTTGTTTACCAATTAAGCGGATCTAATTGAATTTGTATTGTAAACATTAAATAAAAGTTAAGAAGTTTTTTTTTATTTGATATATTAATTTATTTTAAATTTTTTTTAGTTGGGATACTCCCAAAACCTTTTCGCATAAATCCAGATTTTTTTTACAAAATTCTATGCAGAAACAGGAAAAAATATCTGCAGATTCTGTCTAGCCCTAGTTATAAGTTATATTTGCTCACCCCAATAGTTACTTCTCGAAATTTCATAAAAAAATTGATAACTTTTTAAAAACATACATTTACAAAAATGACTAAAATGGCTCTTTGAGAGTCTATTTTATTATTTAGTTCAAATATTACAAATGGAATGCACAGGATTATGGAATACCGAGGGCAGTGAAGTGCACATAGGCTGTGTTTGAAATTGCATACTTGCCTTCTATATAGTACGTAAAAAACAGTATGTGATATGAGTAGTATAATCAAATTCATAGAATTTGAAAAACAGTAGGCAAGAAGCATGATGACTTTCTATATTCGCAAGATTCTGAAGTGTACTTACAATGGATTATACGCTATGCCATAATTCCACACAAGATAATTCATGAATGGGAGTTAAGCAACGCAACTGAGGTGGGTAGGTTGTGTGATTATGACAAATGGTGGATGTAGTATGTTCGAGTTCCATTCAGACTTCTCATATTTATATTATATAGTATTTAGGGCTGTGCATTTAATCGAAAATCCGATTTCGATTTTGGCTTCTAACGATTATGAAAAATCATTAATCGAGATAAACTATTATTCCATCATATACGGCCCCCTTTTCAGTTGTACACATTTGTTGCTCTGCAAAGCTCAGTTCCATGTGAAAATAACTAAAAGCATGTACTGTTATGTAACTTTTGCAGCACGGGATGCGCATTGTTCATATTTTTAAAAGCTGTTGTGTGTGTGTGTGCACGCCGCGGATATGGCCTCGGACAGGCTCGCGCTTAGTCTCGGACAGCAGAGCACACACATCTAACGCCATCTTAATGTCGGCGCTTTAATGGTTAAATACATGCACATTTGTGTCAGAGGTGTTTAAGGATTATTCATATTAACTCTCATTTGTGTAATAAACAAACAAGTTGAGAATCAAAAGACATGTGAAAGAGAAACCATATCAGAACCGCACTATTCTTAAAGTGACAGCTTGCAATATTTCTGTGGCCAACTGTCTTTATTAATAATCAAAAAACAAATGGACAAAATCCTTCACTGCTCTTGACTGAATGACTTTTGTAGCTGAAGTGTTTTTTCTTACAGTGAAGATTCTTAAAGCACAGTTTAAACAAAACCGATTTAATAACTCATTTCTAATAAATGATTTCTTTTATCTTTGCTATGTTGACAGCACGTTATGTTTTACTAGATATTTTTCAAGATACTATTATTCAGCATAAAATGACATTCAAAGACTTATTTAGGGTAGGCAAATCATTGTATAACAGTAGTTTTTTCTGCACTCAAAAATTATATATTTCTTAAAAAGGCTAATAATATTGAGCTGTTAAAATAGGTTTCAAAATATTTAAAACTGCTTTTATTCTTTCCAAAATATAACAAATAAGCCTTTCTCTAGAAGAAGAAATATAGGAAATACTGTGAAAAATCCCTTTGTTAAACATAATTTGGGAAATATTTATATGTAAAAAAATTCACAGGAGGGCGAATAATTTTGATAATCTGATAATTGTGATTACAATTATGAACAAAGTAATCGTGATTATGATTTTTCCCATAATCGAGCAGCTCTAATAGAATGTACTTTTCTATCGGTCGTGTAGTACATACTCGAGTTGTAGACAGTTTCTGACACAACCATAGACTGCCTTAAAAATATGATCAGAATATAGCATCTACGGAGAAAGGATGTGAAGCAGAATTTGGATTCAGACATTTCTTGATACCTTTCTTTTAGAATACTGCATCAAAAGACAGCATTTTAGAGCTTTCAGACACAGACACACCTTAGCCATTTTCGACCACTGTGTTATTCATAACATTCACACGTTGAAGTAATCTTTCATGGTGTAACTACAGTATCTGGAGTTGTGGTATCTCCTAAAACAATTTTCTAATGATTCTTAACATATGAATCACTCTGACCATCTTACAGTATGCATAAAATAATATTAAAATTATTATTTTCAGTAGTATTCCAACACATTATACTTGTACATTAGTATAATTTGCTTGTGGCAAATGAATATAGTTTTCTGAATTAAAAACTGATATGTGACATCAAACGTAACGAACAAATCTTTACTAACATATTGTTGTTTGTATAAAAGGCAGGACAGTGTTGCTGAATTATACATGTTTGGTAAAGAAGATTTGGTAAGGAGAAGATTTCTCAGAGTTGTTTTTTTGTTTTCTAGTCTGATGTTTGACCACCGGCCACGTTCTTGGAGGGAACTTCCCCTGCGTCTGGCTGATTTTGGGGTTTTGCATCGTAATGAGTTGTCTGGAGCTCTGACTGGCCTGACAAGAGTCAGACGCTTCCAACAAGATGATGCTCACATCTTCTGCTCGATGGACCAGGTGTTTTACTGTTGAATGAACAATGCTTTTTGTCATTTGTTGTTTTCAGTGTTAACACTGAAATGCTAAGAATTTAGGGCAAAGATGAATTGTACCATTTGCAATAATAAAAAAGTACAAATGTACAAATAGGATTTTATATACAGAGAAAGATATTCAATGCAATAAAAGCATCAACTTTATTCTTTAGATAACTTGTTGAAAATTTGTCAAATACTGACGAAATAATGTTTTGTCAACATTCAGCACAACAGATATGATAATGTATTAATATTTAAATTTTATATATAATAAAAAAATCTATATTTATATATTTATATATATATATATATATATATATATATATATATATATATATATATATATATATATATATATATATATAAAAAAAAAAATATATATATATATATATATATATATATATATATATATTTTTTTTATTATTATGTCATTAAATTATCTTTGATCCATAATTATTATTTTTATTTACCGATCTAAATGTTTTAGAATCCTGCATTTCTTTTTTAGTGCATTAAAGGCATTTGCTTTATGAGCTTATGAATTGGTTTAAACTGAAATCAGGAGTTTATTCTTTGTTCCCCTCTTACCCCTGTCAGATTGAGTCTGAGATCAAAGGTTGTCTGGACTTCCTGCGTACGGTGTATGATGTGTTTGGCTTCACATTTAAACTCAACCTTTCCACCAGGCCTGAGAAGTTTCTAGGAGAACCTGAAGTGTGGGATCAGGCTGAGAAGGTAAAATTCACTACTGTCTCAATCACTCTCAATTTTGGAGCTGATAGCACATTTGTTTTTTCTTTGAGGTAATGTTTGTTTTTGTTTTTTAACGGAATTTTCTTAAGTTCAGCACGGCTGCAAAAATAAAGTAAATAACAGTTATATTAAGTCATAACTTCCGTCACATATTTTATTCTAAAAATATTCAGTGCTCAAGAAATAAAATCCCCCTTAATCAATATTTTTGTATACACTTCTTTTGTGTACTAGTTCTAAGTTCTAAGATTGCTTCTAAAAAAATTTTTTTCTTTAATAAATGGAAAATTATAAAGAATATTTTTTTACCTTTTATAATTTGTTTTATTGAAATATTTACACAGGGTTCCCGCGGGTCCTTAAAAAGTCTTAAAATGTCTTAAAATTAAAATCCGGGAAATAAAGGTCTTAAAATGTTTTAAATTTTACCGTAAAGTGGCTGTAGGTATTAAATTTTTAGCTGGTGTGTTTAATGACAATAGGGAAGCACAGTGGTCCACTGTAAAACATCTAATAGTTGATTAATTTAGTGTGTGTGAAACAAGAGAGAAATGACAGTCTCCATGATTTTTTAGCTTTTTACGGTAGGTCGGCTACAGAGTACAGACGCTTATGTTGGGGGGACATTGCAGCAGCGAGTCATAGCAGGTCCAGGTTAATCCTTGCATTGTTTGCAGCTCGACCTAACAATGTTACTAGTTCGGACTAGAGCTGATAGTCTTTGTTGGGGTCGGAATTTACTTTTATAATTTTAGACGTGGTTGTGCCGGGCTTGGGCTCGCGCAGTAAATGAACAGTCATGTGATTTCGATTAGCGCAAGGAAGTAATCAAATTGTTTGTTTCAACATTGAAATCCATCTCTGCAAAGGTGAAACAAATGATGACGGAGATGTCAAAGAGAGCGAATTTTGTCAACGGTCAGGCCAGCCGCCAGTTTAATTCAAACAGTCATTCTAGCCGCTCATACACTGCGTATTACGGTAGAGCACTAAGGAGCAGTGTCCAGCGAGCTGACAGGGAACATGATGAGGTCACTCGCTACATTGAACCGCTATCATGGAAAATGAAATGAATGTTCTTGACTGGTGGAAGATGAACAAACAATCCTACCCAAAACATGCTAAATTAGCCAGATCAGTAGTGCATCCCGGCCAGTACCAGCAGCAGTGATAAGGTGTTCAGTGCCGCTCAGTGAGCGCAGGACTGCACTAAAGCCATTTACATTGGATTCAATAATGTTCACCCACAAAAACACATAGCCTAATCTTGATGAGTAAAGAATTTCATATTATAACTAAATATTAATAAAATCATAATGTAGTAAGAGTATACAGGCTGATGCTGGCATTATTTTATTATTCAGCTTCACCATCGCCTTATAGTGAAGTGAAGTGGCAAAACAAATCTCACAGAGCCTTTATCTTAATTTCGTTAGTGCCAAATATCCGTCATCATTTATCATTTATTTTAATTCATTTGCAAAGAAAGACTTATTTTTATTGGTGTGTTGGCCAATTTAAAGGCTAAGTGTATGTACCCAGGCCTATTTAGAGTGTTGAGATGTTGAGATGTTACAGAGGACTTATTTTATTTTTTTGTCCCAACTTGGCCTGTAGCCTATGTTATGAATAAGTAATGTTAACCCATATAAGCGACTCATATATGAGAAAAGACAAACGAGCTGTGTGCATGTGCACATTTGGATAATGTCGGGCTACAAACGGGTTCAGGCTTTTAAAAAGTTGTCAGTCAAAATGTACTTGTCGCGTTCAGGCTCTATCGGGCCTAACTTTTACAGCCTGATTACAGCTCTAGTTCAGATGCCACCCCACAGTCAGCTACAACAGTTTCATTTCACCACCAGACACCCAAAAGGCAGGTACTGTTGGTTATCCATACTGTGACCAGGCACAATTTTTTTAAATCTAGCGAGAGCATTAAATTGAGTAGCCTTTTCCGAAGAAATTATAAAATTTTGGGGTCTTAAATTATGTTTGTTGAGGTCTTAAAAAGCATTAAATTTTACTTTTAAAATGGTGCAAGAACCCTGTTACATTTGAAAATCTCAATGCATTTCTGAATAAAAATATTGCCTTTTTTCAGAAGAATTCCAAAGAAATCCAAGGTTTTAAACCATAATTTAAATAGATTGTAATTTTACCACCAACAAGTCATATGATCAATGTGCAACAATGTGTTTTTTTATCAGTGTTCAATACCTCTTGCAATATGCATGATTAATTGTGAATATTTAGCATCACTTCATTAAGCTCTTATTGTTTTAGCAACTGGAGAACAGTCTGAATGATTTCGGAGAGAAATGGGTTCTGAATCCTGGTGATGGGGCTTTCTATGGACCAAAGGTACAAACAAATGAATAAAGAATTACCTGAACACTTTGTAACAAAAATGACTATCCTCACAATTATTTTGTCTTTTTCTGTGGTACAGATTGATATCCAGATAAAGGATGCCATCGGCAGGTATCACCAATGTGCCACCATTCAGCTGGACTTCCAGCTGCCCATTCGCTTCAATCTCACATTTGTAAGGTGTGTTTACTCAGTGAAACATTACAGCCTGTGTACAATAATGAGTGTAATCAATAAATTTGAGTGCCTAAAGGAACATCCAGGGGCTTGATTTCAGTTCCTTGTACAACAGTGACATTTTGTGGTTCTATTTGATTACTGCACTGCAAGTTGTTGATCTTTAAAACCTCATCTCTCTTCAGTCATGATGGTGATGACAAGAAGAGACCAGTGATCATCCACAGAGCCATCCTGGGCTCAGTGGAACGGATGATCGCTATCCTGACAGAAAACTATGGAGGGAAATGGTACGGTTAATAGGAAGGCTCTCACATGATGATATTTATTCCTAACTCTGCTGTATGTTCGCATAAAACATACGCCTGATTTTATTTCCCACAGGCCACTTTGGTTGTCCCCGCGTCAGGTGATGGTGGTTCCTATTGGACCCACCTGTGATGAATACGCTCAGAGAGTAAGTTTTGCTCACTATTCTTCAGACATTAGTAGCTGTTAGCTCTGATAATTTAGCTTAAGAAACATTTTGAATTATTGTCAGTGTTGTAAACAGATGTTATGATTGATATTTTAGTGTAAATTTTGTTTAAATTTATGTTGTATTCTTTAATGCATAGAAAATTCTAATGAAAAAGGTTACTTAAAATATAAATATTTAGTAGCATTGTTACAATTCCTTTACACTTGATCAGTTAAGTGCATTGTTGCTTATTAAATTTTAATTACATTAATTTATTTCACTTAAATTAAATAGTATTCCTAGTATAACTCCTTCTCCTTATTGTCATTGCTTTACAAAAGGTGCACTTTTTTATAGCTGATACTTATTTTATTAAACTTTTGACTGATTCTGATACCGATTTTTTTTTTTACACTTCCTCCCTTTTTTTTTTAAATAGATCAATACAGATTGGTCATGATGTAAATTAGCATATTCATTTAGTGCTTTTAGTTCATTCACAAGTGGTTTTAGTAAAAAAAATATATTTTTAAAATTTAATATTTAGTTTAGAGCCCTGCAGCAAGCCTTAAATCTAAGCCCTGGCCCAAGACGCACAGGCTATATGTCTTTTTTCTGCAAAACAGCGTATACTGTTACAGCTATTAAAATAGACCAGATATGTATTCAATAGAAAGTTGATGTTTTTTCATTTCATTTTATTTTTTTATCAGAATAATTTAGAGAAATGTTTGGAGTCTTTTTTTATGTAAGTGTTACTTCTTTAAGTGGTATCTATATCCAAGCGGTATGTGGTCCACAGTGAGTTTACTCAATTTACAAGTTGTGCATTGTGCATAAGTAGTAGGCTCATTATTTAAAGTTGTCAGTATTTGAAAAGTTGACCAGAAGTTTGCCTTTCCTCTAGCATTTTTTCACCAAGTTCGCCATTAGCAATTTTTCTCTTTATGTTCTCCATTGCACGTGGCTGGAAATCTCTATGTGCAAGGCATCACTGGCACTTCCGGACCGCATGCATTAGATCTCATTAAGTGCTTTTGAAAAAGTTTTTTTTTCTAAACTAGGCCCGAAGCCTGATATGCAGGTTAGCTATTATGTGAAAATTGTCCCAAAGCCTCTCTGTCTGTCTGTCTGTCTGTCTGTCTGTCTTAATGTGCTGTAATCAGTTTGTAAATATATTTGCTCATTAATAATTTCATACGTTGTTCTTCTATAATAAGCATGTTAAACATTAATGTGTATGCTGCTCACAGTTTAGAGTAAATTGGTGTCTGTCAGCTCTGATTCTAACATGAATTACAAGACCGTTATTAGAATTAATTAATTAATTAGAAACCTTTGTCACTCTCAGGTACAAAAGGAGTTCCACAAAGTTGGTTTGATGACGGATGTGGACTTGGACCCAGGCTGTACTCTGAACAAGAAGATCAGGAATGCTCAGTTAGCTCAGTACAACTTCATTTTAGGTGAGTGATCCAACATAACTTTTTTTTTAGAAAACCCTTTAGATCAGGGCTGCCCAAACTCAGTCCTGGAGGGCCGGTGTCGGGAAGAGTTTAGCTTCAACATGCCTCAACACACCTGCCAGGATTTTTTCTGGCAAGCCTAGTAAGACCTTGATTACCTGTCTAAGGGCCTTGGTATATTTCAAACAAAGTTATTTTTCGATCTTCGTTTGACAATAAAAAGAAGTTTAAAAAGGCTGAGTGACGGTGTACTGTTTCCGAACCGTACAAAACCCTCATGTGCTCGTCTGGTTTGTGCTTTTAAAATCTATACATCTGTACCAGCGCTGCTACTCAACCCTCTAGTGTATTTTTGTTGCTATTGGTGTTGTTGTGCTGGATGTGTTCCTCCTACCTAACTATGAACTACAAGAATACGAAGTAAGTTATTGAAGGCAGAGTTTAAGAACAAACTCATAGATTGCATTGTCGTCACTGACCCAATGGTAGCTTAAAGGTGTTTAGGATCAATACAAACACCCCCAAAAACTTTGCTTTGGTGGAGTGCTGAAACAAACTCAATGTTTCTTTTTTTGTTACGGCCGAAAATTACATTACATCATTTCAGTTCTTTTTTCAATTTTGTTTGAAGTTTACCAAAGTCTCTTTAAGGCAAGTCATTTCACTCAGCGGCCGTCTTTGAAACGCCCCTCGGGCAGTGTGCTTGGGCATTCTGTTTAAATGGGGAAACATCAAATTCTCCAACATTTCATGCCAAGCTTACTATTAAATTTCATATTTGGAATCACAAGTAATATTAAGCAACAGATGTCTCTTTAGTTTAATTTTAAACGTTTTAAATCGAACAAAATCTGCAGAAACTGCTACGTCAAACTACGTCTAAGTTGAGCCCCTCCCCTGGAGAATCGTCAGTCTATAGTGATCGATGATTGGCTCCTGTACTAGAAGGCGGGGCTTCATTCATCATATTGGCTGTTAAATATGGTGAATGAAAATAGTGAAATATTTGAATGGCTTTTTCCCATTCAAAACTATACGAGTGACACGTCTTGTGTATTTTATAGCAGTGGTTCTCAAACTGTGGTATGTGTACCACTTGTGGTACGCGAAGGAATCAAATATGTCATATGTAAATGCTACATATATTTCAAAATTTATTACAAATTATTTATATATGAATATGATGACATATAGCCTATATTTATGAGGTCCAGGCAACATTTCCAGGTGTTGATGAATTTGCCACTATATGTTAATACTTTTAATTTAAGTACAGGAGTTTTCTTTTTTACTTTTTATAAACAGTAACCTACTATTTTTACTATTAACAGCACATTTTAGTTTAAATGTTGATGGGTTTTTTTTTTGGTTTTGTTTGTTTTTTACATACAAGCACAGCACAGTGTTCATGTTCAGACTATTTATAATGTTTAAATGGCTGACACTAATTAATATTTTTAATAATAGTAATTCATCTGACACGTTTTTAATCTGTGGAGAGCTGTAGCTGCTTTACTAGGCCAACTACGCTACTGTATTTCAATACTGCCCTTGGTACTTGGAGAGACAATTTTTTCTGAGGTGGTACTTGGTGAAAAAAGCTTGAGAAACCACTGTTTTATAGTATTTCAGCATACAGGGGTCTTAAGGTGTGTCTGATTGCAGTTGGCCCTCCAAGACACCCCTGGTTTAGACAGTTTTAAAATCTTGGTGTTCTCCTGTTTACCAACATCAATTTATGCAAACATTGTAACTATCTGCCCGTATATTTATTTTATAACTGACAAAGTAAAGGTCACCAGTATAGTTGTTTCTTTAAAAAGCAAGCACTCCACAAACTCACAGAAAATTACATTTTCTAAAATTAAATAAAAAGATGTTGAAGGCACTGTTTGTTGAAACAAACTTCCTGGAAACACTGCTTTAACTTCATCACAATGACAAAATGAGCACAGGAAAATTTAAAGTGGTAAAAAAAAGCAGAATTTTACAAAGCATCTGGCCATAGTGAATATGTTATGTTTGCACTACTTTGTAATTCACCAGCATCCTGTTGACATGCTAAAATTATGTTGTTGTGATAGTTTTAATATGATGTTATACAAGTTTTGTTACACATCGGAAATAATACATTGATTTCCAATTCACAAGTTAACTCTTAAAAAGATAGTGTACCAATAAATGAAAATTTACTCACTTTTTACTTATTCTCAAGTTGTTTTAAACAAGTAGCAGTCGTTATTGAAGTGTTTTTTTTTTCTTTCTGTTGAACACAAAAGAAGACATTTTGAAGAATGTTAGAAACCTTTAACCATTGATTTCCATAGTAGGAAAACTAATTCTTAGAAAATCTATGGTTACCAGTTTCCAACACTTTTCTAAAGCACTTAGTTTTGTGTTCAACAGAAAAAAGAAACTCAAACACTGAAACAATTGTTTTTGTGTGAATAATCCATTTAATTGCAGCTCTTTTAAAAGAAAACCGTCAGCTGCAGATGCATAAAGTGATCGTGGATTAATTGTGATCTTACCTTTCACAATTTTCAATGACAGTGGTGGGTGAGAAGGAGAAGAGCAGCGACACAGTGAATGTTAGGACTCGTGACAACAAGGTGCACGGAGAGAGGAGTCTGACGGACTGCATGGAGCGCCTCAAACAGCTGAAAGCCTCCAGAACCCGAAACGCAGAGGAAGAATTCTGATCTCCACAAACCTCAACTCTTACTTCACACGCCATAAACTCAACACACCACTGGGCAACAATGTGGTGCTCTAGATCAGCCGTAACCTCTCAGCTGGATCAGTGTGTTATTCAGGGGCTTCCTTTTTAAATCACTGACAATACTGTGTAATGAATCAGTCAGTTGTCCTAAAGTCTGTAGATCTGATTTACAATACTTTGCTTTCAAATCAACTGTAATATTAAATATTCTGGGAATGCTTATTCGTCACATAGCCATAGTTGTTTGTTAGAGGAAAGAGGCTTTTCTGTCGATGTATGTGGATAAGGAAAAATGACAGTAATGTCTGGAAGTGATCCTGATGTGTTAAAGAAATAAAAAATAAATATTTCCAATTTTATGTCTCACTTGTGCTGTGATTACTTAAAACACATCGAAAGCTTCACAATTAAAAACAAACAGTGCATCTGCTAACGTTGGGTTGGCAATTATAATATACATGAATGTAGGGCTGCACAATATATCGTTTTAGCATCGATATTGCAATATGATCATTCGCAATAGTCACATATAACAATATGACAATGTTGAGTCTGGATTATAATTCATCATTTTCATCTGTTCCTGAGTTCTGTGATTGTATATTGCCCTTAAATACATTTAGGCATAACAAATTGTACTATTTGTAACCTTAACAACGATTAATCTTATTGAAATATTTTTATTTTTTATCATTCAGTTACTGTGCTTGAACATCGTTAGACTTGGAAAACGACAAAACACTTTTTCAATTGTATATTTTTCTTGATTGTATTCATTGATTGTTATGCATGAAAATACAATAAATGCAAATACAGAAATGCTCTGTGAATAGCACAGACAACAACAATAATAATATATTTATCATTAATAAATTATAACTTTGATAATGATTATTTATTAAGAGCTTTTCTTAGACTCAAATCGCTTACAGAAGCATCAAATCCACAATAAAGAAACAAATGAAAATGTGTCGGGGATCTCAAAAAGTTTATATATAGTATATTAGATTTTATGGAGATGCACTCCCACTACAGAATCATCACGATTTATCTAGCATTATAAATTATGTCCAAGTACAGATATTAAGTCATTTAAGTCGTTTATTTTGATAACTGTGAACAAATTCTACAATGGATTTTTATTATTGTTAACTATTGTATAAATAACCTATGAATCCTCACTTTTGAAGTCTTTCCGATATTTCTTTGTAAAACGTGAACAAGGAAAGAAGTAGAGAAGATTAGATGGACATTGTCGCTTATGCTTGGTGAAACTTTGTATTAGGCTACTTTCTCTTTCACTTGGGTTCTTCAGCTGACTGAGAAGAAATCACGTGACTGCACTGCAAGTCAAAGCAAATAAACGCGAGAGTAGTGAACAAGCACCAGACTTTGAATTGGATTTAATTTCTATTTTCTTTTAAATATTTTGAGCATATTGCAGTTTTACGTCTCTGGTGAACTGCATCGACTTTTCCGAAACAGATCGTTTTTACAGCTCTCTTGTCTGAATGTTTATTTTCGCTTTGTGTTTAACGTTAACGTACTCACAAAATATTCTGTTGCTGGACAGAAATGCTTTTGGATACAGAGGCGATGTTTATTACGACAGAATAAGGATTTGGGTTTTTTATTCTTCAATAAATTATTGCCCTAAAAAGGTAAGTCAATTTGTTTGTGCTGTTTGAGAAAAGGTAAAGAGTAAACCGTAATATAATGGACATTAGTGATTTTGGAGATATGTGACACGTCAACATAACATAGACATAACCTCAACATGCATATAGTGTATAACCTATATAAAGCCCATTAAGTGAAATGCCTAATTTATTTTTATAATGCGATATCGTCTTCTAAAATTAACACTTGCTGTATTTGCTGGGCTATGTAGTACACAAGAATATGTATCAGGATTTTTTTTTATTATGATTATTAATATTTTTCAAGGTCTTGATTGCAAAGAAAGACTATCCATAAATCAAATAGCATACTTCCGCGTTGAACGATGAGCTTAATTTCACTTTCATTTTTGCACGCCCTCAATAGTTGTTTCAAATATTGCTGGTGTTATCCTTTAAAACAAACGGCACTTTGACAGGTTATGATGTTTTATTTTCTGACCCAGATATCATCAGAATTAATAGATAGACTGGGGGTTCTATGGTTTTGGGGGCAGATAGCCCTAAAAGGTGTTTTACCTTTAAATTTTTAATGTCAAATTTCTCAAGCCAATTAAGTAAATTGCTATAACTGAGGCATTTACTTGTTTCAGTTCTGCAATGGAGTTCACAGATGAAGAGAAACTCTGGCTGCAAAGATTATCTGCTGAAGTAAGATGCTTTTTCTTCCTTATATATGTTGTGTTTTAATTAAGATAATATTCCGTCAAACCGTAAAATACCACAAACAAAAAAAGCTGAAATCGCATTTTGAATAATAATAATAATAATAATTAATAATAATAATAATTATTATAATTATTATTATTATTATAACAACAAATTATTATTATTATTATCACCGACAACAACAATAATATTGATAAATAAATAAATAAATAAATAAATAAATAAATAAAACAAATAAAAAACATAAATAAATGAATAAACAAACATTCTGTTTATTGGCCATGTGGTGGCAGTGTAGCACATTTTATATTTTTCTTGCCATTTAAATTAAAGCCTCTGTGTTTTACTTATTTACTGTAGATACCTGAAGGAAATGAACTCACTTCAAACGAAAAGCAGTTCTGGGAGAAAGCAAAGCCAGAGACTGAATTTCTTGGCCAGTATTTCCAGACAATGGCCTCTATACGATTTGGACTGAATGATTTAGGCAGCACAGCCACAGCCATGAAGAACCCTGTTCATCAGAGAAGCTGCATCGCTTCACCATGTGGATAATCGCCAAACACCAAGAGGAGGACATATTTTCTTTTAGTTATCTAACATAACATTCAGACTCCAATAATAAAATATGAATAAAAAAAATCAGCATATAATGGTGAAAGCAGAGTAGCTTTTGGCACTTTGTAATTAAGATCGGTTTTGATGATCATCTCCAGCATTCTTACCTCAATACAAAAATTTATTGGTGCCTGTCAGGTTTTGTTTTGTAAAGTATGTACTACAAGATGATGTGACAACAGTGTAAAATGTGTTTTCTCAGTTAAAGCTTCACTTTAAAAAAATTAAATAAAAATCTTATTTTAAGGCAACAAACTTCAGTTGTTTTAAGTTGACTCAACTTTCAACCCAATTGCTGCACTTGACTCGATTTAAGTTGAGTTAACTCAAATGTACTGAAGTTTGTTACCTTAACTTTAAGTTGAGTCAACTTTTTTAGTGTAGTTCACCCCAAAAATGAGTATTTACTCGTTATTTTCCCTACTCAAGTGGTTCTAAACTTTTTAAATTTCTTTCTTCTGTTGAAGACAAAACAAAATATTCAGAATGTTAGGAAAAAATAGCCATTGACATCCAAAGAAGGAACAAAAAATACTTCTTCATACACTCTTCATGGTGTCTTCCTTTGCGTTCGACAGAAGAAAGAAGCTCAAACAGGTTTGGAACAACAGGGGCAGTAAATATGACTTTTTTTGTGGGGGGGGGGGGGCTATTTCTGCATGCATGCTCTTTTATTGTAGTAATTGTAATAATTTATTGTAGTAATATTGCTTAATTTTATTTTTTCTTTGGGATGTAAAAATGGTGCTCTGTTCTGATGCACAAAGGTGAACCTAAAAGACAGAACTTTGGTTTTAACATGCCTAGGGATAAAAAGCATCTCTACCTCACTCCTATTACAGTAAATGCAGTATATTTAATATACAATCTTTACACACACACACACCAAAATAACAATATAGAAGAGTACTTTTAGTGTACATTGTTGTTTATTTTGATGATCTGTATATGAGAAGCTTTTACCTAAATACCTGTGCACGATCTGCATTTCTACATTCATCATAAAATGATTGAGCTGTGTTTGTGTACGCACGTGTATGTATAATGTATAATATATGGATTAATAAAAAATATATAACAATTAGTTGTAAAATCCATTTCTGATTTCTGAGCATTTAGTTTTTTTTAGTTTAGTTTGGTTTACTCTGACCCATCAGAAGCATGAATTACAAATTAATATGATATTTACATGGCAGTTGTGCCTTGTTTATATTTTGTTTTTGCCTACAGGAAATGAATTGTAAAAATGTACAGCATTTGCAATTACATTTCTGTAATCTGTTAACAAAATATAGTTGTTTCCAAGCAACACAGCTTTGTCACTGTCAATGTCAATTTTGTTTATATAGCACTATTAAACACAAGAAAAGGTTGACCATTGTGGTGCACATTACAAATAACAAAGAGAAAGATTATACAATTTCAACTAAAACACACAATTCTCACTGATAAAATGCCAAATCAAAAAGGTACGTTGTTAGCCAGGGGCGGACTTTACCAATAAGCAAGGTGAGCAGCCTTAGGGCTCCAGGGAAATTGGGGGCCCCCACCGATGACGAGGTCTTTTAAATGTTTTATATCATTCTAAAATCTGCCTATAATCATTAGGATTTTAACGTTGTTACTTCTTTTATAAACCGTGGACCACAATGGATAGTGGAACGTTCCTTCTATACTAAACATGCAAATATAAATATCTAACCACCAGTACGGTTAACTAACTGTAGTTTGTGAGCTTGTTTTTAATTTGTGAATTTATTGTATTCCATTTTACATTAAGAAGGTTTCACTTATAAAAAATAAAAAAAACTGAATCAAGAGAGAAAAAATATCTATAGAGAAAGAAGATGTTTTAAGTTTCAACGCTGGGGCTCCATATCTGGAATTGCTTAGGGCCCTGAAATCACTAAGTCCACCCTTGTTTTCAACCTAAATTTAAAAACAGACAGAGATGATATAGATCTAATACAGAGGGGCAGAGCATTACATTTGATGGGGATACATTTGATGATCGAAGAGGCTAATGTTCAGTCAACAGATATTACAGATAAGAAGGTGCCAAGCCATTTTGTGATTTAAAAACCAAGAGAGGAATTTTAAAAGTGACACAGGCAACCGGTGCAAAGAGTGTAAGACTGTGTGATATAGTCATGTTTTTTGATACCAGTTAAACGTCTTGCAGCAGCATTTTGAACTAATTGTAAACGGGATAGAGCTGTCTGACTAATCCCGAAATATATTGAGTTGTAGTAGTCCAACCTAGAAGTAATAAAAGCATGAATTATTTTTTCACATTTCTTTATAGATCGAAAAGGCTTCACTGTTTTTGAGCTTTATGAGTGCAGTAGTTTTTTTTTAAATTGTTATTTATCTGATGCCCACACGGTGG